AGCATTTTGGCATCAGCAGAGGAATTTTCAAAACCTGCATGTTTTTATTATAGCAGTATCCACCATGGACTTGACATGTACCATGTTCTGGATGATGTTAGACTACATCCTCCTCTTGAGAGATTGAATGAATGCAGTTGATAAATGTTGGATAATTAGCCAGACAAAATTTTGAGAATGTATACTCATTGCTATGAAAATATATGCAGGATACCTTTTCCTTCCTTGGGTAAGATTTTTCCTTATGTGAAATAGTAATTATTTGTAACCTAAGAATTTTTTTGGAATWATTTTCATTAATATCAATTTTGAAGCTAGTTGTTTTGATCTGAGGTTGTGTTTGTTCTAATAAAATTGATGTGAATCTGATTGCACTGTGCCTTGGAGCTTTTTGACTGTTGTAGTCTCCTAGGACCTGTTACTATGGCTCATCATCTTATATGTTCCCTGAACCTTTAAAAGAAATTAAAAAAAAAAAACAGTAGAAGCTTCGGGGGTTGAATCATACCCCAATAACCTGCCTTGCCCTTCCTAAGAGTTAACTTTAGGTTAAACTGTGGGCAACAGGAAAGGAGATATCTGCTCCTGCTCCTATTAAATCAAACATGTGCCACCAATTGGCACTAAGGCCTGGGGAAATGCCAGCTCTCCATGTGTCACTAAGATAGAGCTCCTGGGAAAGGCCTGGAGCACCAGCAGAAGTACCGCCTGGGAAAACAAAACTTTCTCTTGCAACCCAGGCTGGACAGTGCAGCTCCTGGAAAGTCCTGGCCTCCAAAGAATAAATGGCTTCCTGACTGCTGATGCACAACTGCAGGAAGAAGGAAACGATCGAAGGGAAGGGTGTACAGTTCTAGAATAGAGAGGGCTTCATGATCACAAGGTGGAAAAGGTGGATTTTGTTTTGCTTTGTTTTTACTTTAAACGTTTTCTACTTTATTGAAGAATCCTCATGTGGAAAAACATACTTTACATTTAATTTTTTTGCAGTGTTCAGGATTGAACCCAGGCTCTTGTGCCTGCTTGACAAGTGTTCTACCACTGAGCTACATCCCCAACCCTTTTAAAATGTTTAATTTTGAGACAAAGAGTCTCCCTAGGCTGACCAGGCTGGCCCAAACTTGGGTTTTTCCTGCATCATCCCCTCAGCTGGTATTTTAGGGGTGTACCACTGCTCCCAGTATACATAGGCTTCTAAGAGTTTGTCAGAATCAGCTCTGCCAGTTCACCCTGCTTCCTGTTGTAAGGATGCCCTCATCTTGGACAAGCATGACTATCAGTCATTCTAACAGAACTCCAAAATTCTGAATATGCAAAGTCAAAGGTAGGGCTGGAGTTGTGGCTCAGTGGTAGAGCACTTGCCTAGCATGTGTGAGCACTGGGTTTGAGCCTCAGCACCACACAAGAGGATCAATAAATAAAATAAAGGTACTGTGTCTATCTACAACTAAAAAACATTTTTTTTTTAATTAAAAGGTATAAACACTGAGGCTTTGCCAGATCTTGATAACTTAAGTTGATAGTGGGCTAAGGGCAGTAAAGTTGCCCTCCTCATGTACAAGAAACTTGACTCTTAGAGGAATTACTGAGAGTATTACTCTGAACCAATTCTGAACTTACAAACTCAAAAGGTTATACACATTGAGTTCTGCCAGATCTTGCTATCTTAAATTGATAATGACATTGACTTCATTAATTAATA